TGCTATTCATTGCCTCAGTAACCCATGGCCAGCCTGGCCAGCTGTATTAGAACTTCCTTTGAAGCCCAGTCAGTCATGGTCATGGCTGACTCTTTCGAGGCCTTAATTCTAAGTATCTATAAGGAATTGTGGGAATCATTATTTGGGAAATTTTCAGCCAACTCCACACATTGAACTTCACATCCCTGTTGTTTTAGGCCACCATCAACCTTATAAGGCCTTCTAGTCACTCGACATTTCTTGTATTCTGACCTTTATACTTTTTCCTGCGCTCATTCCTTTATCAGTTTTCATTCCTTTGTCAGTCAGGGTCCTGTATGCGGCAAATAACAAAACCACATTCAAACTGGCTTAAACAATAGACTCACATAACTGGAAAGTCTAGCTATGGATCAGGCTTCAGGATTAGTTGATCTAGGGTAGGGGCCCAGTGATGTCAGTAAATACCTGGTTTCCTTCCTTTATTTTTCCTTCACAATATTTATTTCACCATAAATCAGCTTCTGCTTTTTTTTTCATAAGGTGCATGCCAGCTGCAGTCAAGGACACACACTTGCTCAATTACACTCAGTAGAAGTAAGACCCCTTTCTCTCACAGGGGTTCTGAGGTAGGGGAAGCCCCCTTTGAAGATCATGGACTGTGTGGGCGATACATGGGTACTGGGAAGAAAATGCATGTATAATTGGTAAGGGGAAGCAGTGAACGCCTGGACAATCAGTACAGATTTAGCTATCTTCTGTACTCTTCGACTCCTCCCTTGTTATTTCTGGGACCCTTGTCCCATAGTAAACAAACTCCTCTACTTTTTCATATGCTTGATTGTCTCTTCTCCTTTTAACCTTTACTGAAATCCGCTCAGCCCTGCGGAAAACACTTCCCCTACACCCCTCTACTAAGTACTACAAAGTAAGAAAGTAAGAAAGATCCACATCTTTGTTCCCCAGCTCCTGCCTTGCCCCCTGCTATTCTCCCAGGCCAACACTTCTTCACCTTGTGTAAAAACACTTCCCAAGGCTCCCAGTCTGGTTTTACCCTTCTATACCCAGCCCATGATGTCCTCTCCCAAGCACCTGGGCAGCCCCTTCTATTCTCTGAAGACTTTGGTTCCTGATTCTCTCTTCCCTTCTCCCAGGCCCACCTGTCAAGCCGTGGACTGCAGTGTTCATGTAGACAGTGTATCCAGGACTAGGTTGTTGGCTCTTTGCATTCTCCAGGTCGTTTACATCAACCATCCCCTCCAAGAAAATATCCAGCTTTTGTCAGACTGGTTAGCCTTCGAATTCTTAAATCCAGACATGTCACATTTTTACCATAACCTAACTACTCGCATTTTGCCTGTTTTATTGATATTACTGAGGCTATATTGATATTAGTCTTTCCTTCTGTCTGAAACAAATTGCTCTGCCCATGCTTTCTATGCCATTTGTTCCTACCTCCACGGGACCTTCTTGTCTATATGTGTCATTTACTACTAAATTGAAAAACTTAGTTTCAAGTGGAATCATGAAAAATGATAAATTGCTTAAACTATTCAAACAAAAACATAAATGTATACTTACTTCCAAATATTTTGATGCAAGATGAAGGCCTTTTTGACCAGTATGAGTCACTTGATTGCAGTTCCTCACTGTCCTTGCATAAACTACACCTAAAATGCACCATTTTTTATTTCCATTTTTAGTTTTTTTAAGTGGAACACACCTAAAGACACACATAATTAATCTGAATCAGAAGTCTTTCAAATCGTCACATTTCTTTTCTTAAGCATCTATTATAGCAGAGGTTTTTTTTAGTTTGGCTTTTTAGTCACTATTAAAAAGAATTTCCAAAACAGTTTAGTTAAACAAGTCATTCTTTTTGCATACATTTAATCAGTTAAATATTTAAAACACATGAACACAAGAATAATAGTCATAAACAGGTTTTGGAACTTAACCCTTTGTGAATTTGTATCTCAACAGGTTGAGGGGAAATGTGAAAATATATTAGAAAGTAGTCTGCCAGCATTGGGTCCATCAACCAGCATATGTCACATCAGAGACATCAGTTAATGTGGACAATTAAGACCGTCAGTATCTAGGTCTCTCCCATCTTAGAAATGCGTCCCTTCTATTGCCTCAGCCCCTTCTAACTGCACACTGAGTTAGCTCTCCTTGTTTTTACAGCCAACTCTGTAGAGAATTGCTTAGAAGTGTACTCTCCCCCATTCTTCACCTCCTTTGTACCCTCAGTCATAGCGCTCTGCCCTCCACCCCAGCACCCCAGTGACACAGCCCTTGCCGAAGTCATCCATGACATTCCTATTGCTAAATTCAACAGATACTCTTCCATCTTTCTTTATTTGTACATTCAGTGCTGTTATTCATTCTCCCTTTTTTTAGTGCTTGCTTTTCACAACTTCCTTGACCCAGCCTGGCTTGGTTTTCCTTCTGCTTCAGTGATTAAACTACAGTTACAGCTCAGGTGTTACTCTGTTCTCACTCTACAGACTCCTTGAGCCAGTTCAACCACCCCTCTAACTTCAGTTGCCATTTAACATTAACAAATTCCACTTACGTGTGCCACAACCACTTGACATGTCCAATGTTGAATTTCTCTTTTTTACCCGCAAGGACCCTCCTCTTCCCCTTTCTAAGTTCCTGGTTTTAGTACTGGCCCCATCATCTGTCAGTCTGTGTCCAAGACAGAAATCTGGACATCCTGGTGACTCTCTCACCTCACGCACACATCAATTCAGTGCCATTTCTACTTCTTGAATATCTTTTAAATCACTCCAATTTCCTCCATTTTTCTAGCTCAGTGTACCATAATCGTAAGCTCCAAATGCAGTTAATAGCTTCCCTCTAGAATGCTTTCTCTTTCAAACCTTTCAACTTACTATAATTTGAATGATTTTTCTAAAATTCTAATTTTATTTCATCTCTCACCTGATTGAAACACTTTGATGGCTCTTGTTGCCTCAAAATAAGGTTGAAGTTTTTAATGACTCACAAGGCTCTGCATTCAGTGCTCCTTACTTACCTTTCTAGATTCTCTCTCTTTACAGCCTTTGGCCTTTGGATAGCACACTGTCCAGATTTTGGCTTGCTCCTTTCTCCTGATGGAAAATCTTCTTAGAAGAACCCCCTTTGCGGTCTTTCAGAGTTCTCCTGCCGACCCCTATCATAGCACTCATCTCAATATAGTATGAGTGCCTGTTTATCAGTTCGTCTTCTCTACTGTGTCATAATAGTGGGTCCGAGTCAATTTGCCTTGTTATTCTCGGTACCTGTCACAGTGACCAGCCACACAGTACATGGTCATAAATACAGGGTATTTGCTGAGCAAATGACTTTAAACAAGTCACTTAGCTTCCCTGAGCCTCAGCTGAATCATCTATTAAAAGGGAATAATGTCTTACCTACCTCATAAGGTTGTTTGGGGGTCTTGTAAACTGGTAGGAATGAAGTTTATTAGCAAAGTGGTTAAGAGTGTGGGATCTGGATCTGTACACCTGGCTTTTAGTCCTGGCTCCCACCACATGTGACCTTGGGTAAGTTACTTAACTTCCCTGTGTTTTAGTTTCCTCTTTGGTAATATAATAATAGCCATAGTGTCTGCCTCATGGAGTTTTGTGAGAATGGAGTTAAAAAATGAAAGCACTTAGTACAGTGCCTAAACACACCATAAATGTTTGCTATTAATTATAACATTTTTATTTATAAGCTCAAAAGTAATCAAGCACAAACATCTGTGGATAGGGGCACCCATGGCATCGATCATTAACATGTTTAAGGGCTTGGAGGACTGGTATCATTCTTCTTAATTTTTTCTTTTCAAATAATATCCTAGCTGTAGCAGAGTTTAAGCTATAAGTTTGAATTTAAGACTTGCTCTAGTCTTAAATTAGCAAGTCTTACTATAGCAAATCTTAAATTCGAATGTCTGTTGTTGATTTACGTGAAATTTTGGTAAAAATAATTAATTGGTGTTCAACATAAAAAGAAAATTTTGAAATGTTTCCTTGTTGAATCCCCCAAATTTTTGAGTCTGCATACCAAGTAGATGGACATCAGCACAAGAAAAACATTTATATAAGAAAAATTACTTGATTAATTTATAAAGGACAATTAGTATGTCTTTGACACCTAGCTTTATTATTTTATGATTTAATTACATGAATAATTTAATGTTTGGAACATACAAATTTCATTAAATCTGTAATGAAATAGATTCAAGAAAAATGCAGCAGCCTTGAGTTTTTTTCATATGTTTGCTTTTTATTGAATTTGTTAATATTATAGAGTTCTTGCATTGCCAAACCATGCCTGAGAATTCAAAGAAAGAAATGATACAATGGACAGCCTCTCCACCCATCATACAGTACATTAAACTTGATTCATGTGCATTTTGATAATGTTCTAATCTTTTAAAAAGTTCTAACAAGAGTTGGTGTTACATCTTCTGCAGGTCTTCAGATTTCTAATACAGTATGCCAATAAATAAGTTCCACATGCCCATCTCAGTTCATTCCTCAATAACATAGCCCTCAACAAAATTTTGCTGGAAAAAAAATGCATACTTTTAAGGAAAAAAATTTGTGTCTGAAGATCCAAGAGATTTGTTAAAATTTTTGCTTGGCAAATGAAGTCTTCAGTTTAACCAAGAATCCCTCATTTCTCACCTAATCATCCAGCCTGTCCTTGGCTTGCTGAGTAACTCACCCAAACACATCGGAAGGCAGGCATTTTGCCTGCCACCTCAAGTAACACCAACATGAGTGCCCAAAAATGGTTGGCAGGTCCTGTCAGGATTCCTGTAGAACCCCAGGAGTCAGATTCCTGGACTGACACTTTTATGGGAGTGTTTAGTTTTGTGCATATGTGCTCACCTGAAAGAAATTTGCTCATTATTAAAAAGTTCTCTTTCATTTAAATTTAATTAGATAATACCCATTTGTATATTGACTTTAGACCAAATAAAAATGCCTAATTTTTATTCTTTTTCTGATTCTTTTTAGAGTTGGTGGTTGCAGGATTTTATGCAGACTGACTTTAGGAAGAGAAGTGATGTCTCCTCTTCAGGCAATGTCTTCCTATACTGCGGCCGGCAGGAATGTTTTAAGGTGGGATCTTTCACCAGAGCAAATTCAAACAAGAACTGAGGAGCTCATTGCACAGACCAAACGGGTGTACGATGCTATAGGAATGCTTGACCTTAAGGAAGTAACTTACGAGAACTGTTTGCAGACACTGGCAGACGTAGAGGTGAAGTACATAGGTGAGTAGGATGCAAAAGCACATAGATATCCATTATGTGGGCATCGTGAACAATTTTACATTTTCTGTGTTGGCAGTCCATTTTCCAATTTTACAAGACATTGATTTTTACATGATGATTAATTAATTGCTTGGAATTAAATTACCTAAGATTAATATTTTATATTTTGTTGGCAAAGGTGTACACTCTCATTTCATCTGATTTCTGGGCAGCATTGACTATATATCAAAACTTTTAAGAAGTTCAAACCCTGGTCTAGTAATTCCACATCTATGCATTTAATCTAAGGAAATAATCAGATACAGGAAAAATCCTGTACAAATTTATGTATAAACAGGTACTGGATCATAAGCAAAAGCTTAGAAACAACCCATAAGTGTCAACTAATAAAAAGACTAAATAAATTATAATACATTCACCCCTGTAACACTGTACAGCCATTAACATCATGTTTAGAAGCAGTATTTAATGACATAGAAAAAAGGACATAGAAGGAAAACTAGAAAGCAATTTTAATAATTTAATAACATACATATTAGTAATTAATATTTGGATGGTGGGTTTACAGTTGATTATTTAAATTTTTCTCTTTAAGCTTTTCTCTATTTTCCATTTTTCCTGTATACTTAAAGTATATTATTTTCATCATATGCATATTAGACTCTTTGAGTTTTAAGAAATGAAGATTCACATAGTTACCTCTAGGAGTCGGATATATTTTGTAGGACATTTAGGACTAAACAACCTTGGCTGTGTGTCCAGGCTTCTTATAGTACTATAAGAACATAGTACTATATGTCCTTCTGGATATCATTAACCTTAGTATGTCTTCTGGAATTTGGGAGGTTGTTCAGAATCTACCACTGGCCTAGAGACCTGGTCATCACTTTGCTCTCTCTGACCCCCTCAACACCAAGAGTTCCCTCCCCGACCTCCTGCCATAATGGGGACTTGGCTACTTTCCCTGACCTCTGCTTCCATTTCAGTCTCTGACTCAACTACCAACTGTATCACTCTCAGTAATGGCCACTAAGTCTTGCCACAAGTCCTGACTTTAAAGTCTTAATAAAAAGGCCGATTGGTCTCATTCGTCAAAATCAACAGGGATGGGGCCCATTCCCATGCAGCAGACCTTTCCCAGTAAGCAATTTCGTGTGCATCCCCCACCCAGACGTGGTCTGCCCCTGGTCCAGATACTCACTTCTCCAGTCACTTACGGCCAAGACGCTGTGCTGGCCTGGCAACGTATACATTCACCAATATAAAAGTCAGTGGGGGAAAAACAAAATTTTTTTAAAGAATTGTCTTTTTCCCCAATAATATGTCTTTTAAACATACTTTTAGTTTTGTGTTGTTTGTTCTTACTCTCCTATAAATTTATCTTTCTGAGTTTATCATCCTTAGAATAGATTTTTAAAAGACTAACTTTCTCTTATCTGTGTATGTTCTCAGAGTTCATTCTGCCTCCAGCAAGAGCTGTTAAAACCCCATTCGAGTAGTGCCAGGTACTGGACATCAGTGTTGTTTATAGCTTGGCAGCTGGAGTATAAGTCTGGTTCCAGGTCTTTGTGGCAAAGTAAGGAAGGAAATGGTTTCCAGTATCATTGTTTGTTTAAGAATATGTTCCCAATTTTAGGTTCCTGTATTTTCTGCCACTCATTTAAGTTTCTGAGCAGTTTTATCCTACTTAATAATCTTTTTGAGCTCTTTTTAAAAAGTAAACAAATTATAACTATATAGTTAATTATATCACTTAAGTGCTGTAGGTATTAAACTTTAAATCTGTTTTATTTTTTTTTTAATTAAGGGGCATAAAATTATATATTAAACCAAATCCTCAAAAAAATTATCTAATTTGAGTTTTTAAAACACAGTATGAATTTGTTCAGATATTTGTGGCTATTCTTTTATACCTTCATTCGTAACAGTGTTTTAAGAGGACTGATAAAAGTGAGGTAGCTTGTTTAACTGTACAATTTCTTGGTATGTAAGGATAGCTATCCTGTTTACCATATATCACATGCATAGACTTTACCTATTTATAACACCTTTGAAAGTGCTATAGATAAAATAAAAGTATTTTCATTGTCACAGCATAACCACAACTATCGCTATAAACCATCCTGGTTTGTTTCTATACTATGGGTTATTTTATTGACATCAGATTTTTGCCCAATTAAAGTCAAAATACAAATATATGAAAAACCCAAGAACAAGTTTAATATATGAAAATTAGAGTAGCTAAATTAGCACCATCATTTAACAGGAATAGCCCCAGTATTCAGCTCAGTGGATGTGTCCACTGAGTTTCCCGATAATCTTCTGAAATTGTTTGGAACTCTTTATGTTTGTGTGAATGTTTGCATTGGGGGAGGGCCCATAATTTAGATTAAATTCTTTAAGAAGTCTGTAATAAAGGTTAAGAACTTCTAAATAAAATCTATCCTACTAAATTGTTTTTTAAACATCCTCTGTCCCTGCCCTTCCCCAGACCCGCACTCTCTGCTTCTCCAAACCTTCACTGAGCGCTTCCTTTTGCCCTACCATCCTCTGAGGTCCAGCCTTCTCCATGAGGCTCTGCATAGTGCCCAGCCCTCAGCATTGCTGCCTTTCAGTTACTATCCCATTCATAACCTGCTCTGTCCTGTATTTTTCTTTTTTTTAATGCACTGTTCCCCACCCCAAGTTGCCAGATTATAAAATTCCTCAGCATAAGAACTATGCCTTTATCTTTCTGTATTCCCAGTTTGCAAATCACATCCAAAACATACATTAATAAATGCTCACTGCACAGCCTTCTTGTTCCTAATAATGCCACTGGGACAGCCAAGCCCTGCATTAAATGCTGGTTTTTTTTGATAATCTTAGGAACCTTTATAGAAAGTCTAAAATGAAAAACTTTTATCGGGATAATCATTCATCTAGATAGGAGGTATTTTTCTTAATACTGACTTGATGAGTCCTTACCGTTTTCTCCTCTGTTAACAGTGGAACGAACCATGCTGGACTTTCCCCAGCATGTCTCCTCTGACAAAGAAGTACGGGCAGCAAGTACAGAAGCAGATAAAAGGCTTTCTCGTTTTGATATCGAGATGAGCATGAGAGAAGATATATTTCTGAGAATTGTTCACTTACAGGTAAATGATGTTATGAATCTCTTTAAAAGAAAAAAATCTGCAATAAACACCTAAAGCCTTTGGCCAGCAATAAAAAGTACTTGATGCTCCTAGATTTTTTTTCTAATTACTATAACAATAGACATAGCACCGTGTTATATTGTACCACTTAGGTTTACGTTTAGCTGCTAATTATATTCACTTAAGATTAAAGACCAAGTGTAAGAATGTACATCTATAAATCTAAGGCTTCTTAGCCACCATGAAGTTGATGGTTCAGTTGAAACACCTCTTTGAATTTTCAAAATATGGCAAGGTTTATACTAGATCACATCAACTAGAAGCAAATGGAATTGAGTTGTTTATCTGTAGACATCGCGTGGCCTCGGCCATCGTGTTGGTGACTTGCTGCTGTCCCACGCCACAGTCGACTTTCCCACTTTTGAGAATTAGCGTGGAAATCATGGGTAGTGAGTGTTGCAGGCGGGTCTGACCTGAGTGTATTTGGTCTTTTCATCACCAGTGTTGATTGGATTTCTAGCATTTTTAGCTTACCTTTGTTTTGAATTTTTAATTTCATGGTTTTTAAAAAACATCAGCAATTTGTTTAAGAAACAGCTAATGTTTTATAATCCTATGCATTTTTGCATGCTTCTTTATGCAAAAATCTCAAAAATTTTGTTCCTTTTAGCAAATTTTGACAGTTGAAATAAAAAAGCAGTATATCAGATGTTTTATTTGCAGCCTACTCTAGAATATGTGATCAAGACTTAACGTAACAACAAAACAAAGAAAAAACAAAATATAAACAAAGTCACTGAAATAGAGGACAGGCTGAGAGTGACCAGAGGGGAGAGAAGAGGGAATTTCAGGGGAGAATGGGAAGGGTTTACAGGAACAAATTTAAAGGACACATGGACAAAAACTAGGGGGAGGGTGGTAATGGGAGGGAAGTGGGGAGGGTTGGGTGGGTGGGTTGGAATGGGAGTAAAAGGGAGAAAACTCTACTTAAACAAAGATTAAAATAAAGAAAATTTAAAAAAAGACAACGTAGACATATAAGAGTGTATGCCCTCTGCTCCCTCATGTCAGACAAGCATTTTTTACCCTATAATCTATAATCATTTCTGTGGTTCAGAATTGTTCATCTTTGGCACTATAAAAATAACAAGTTAAAAGAACTTTATGATTATTTTTTATTAACTAAATTTTTTTTATCCCAGTTATTACTTTATGGGATTCAAATGATGGCCTTTACAGTCTATTTTTATTTCATTCCCAATAATCTAATTTCCATTCAATCTGTGTATTACATATGTATTTTAAAACATTCCTAGGAGTCTCTCATTTTCTTTAACTGTTTTCATCCTGACTTCTAAGTCCTCATTTGGGATTTTCTAGCCTCTAAGAGGTATTTCAACCCATATCCATTAAGCAGCTCAGTCACTCCCCTTTTCTCCTCCCCTAGCCCCAGCAACTGCCAGTCTGCTTTCTGTCTGTGGATTTGCCTGTTCTGGGTATTTCATATAAATGGAACCATACAGACAAATGGTTACTAGACTTAGCATGGTGATCACATCATAAGATATATAAATGTCAGATCACTATCTTGCACACGTAAAACTAATATAATATTACATGCCACCTGTACTTTAATTTAGAAAAAATTTTAAAGGTATTTTCATCTTAATAAAAAAGCAGTATATCAAATGTTTTATTTGATATAATAAAACATTTTATAAAAAGCAGTATATCAAATATTACTGAGTTAGATGTTTTTATTACTGTTCCACCATCTCTGATTTTTATGAATGTTATCAAAATATGGGAGGTTTGTCGCTTTAGATTTCTTTTTTTTCCCTTTAGGTTTCTCTGGTATGCTTTCTTTTGTTTCTTTCTTTCTTTTTTTCCTATGCTTTTAAATTTTGTATATATTGTGGGCTGGCCCCACCAAGTTTGAGAACAAGTTGCTGTCTCTGTAGTAGGCGAGGCAGTAGACTAGCACAGCGTAAGGACTGCAGGAACACCAGTGCATTCATCAGATTTGTGTACTTGTCTGGGCTGGTTCACTTCCAGGTTTTGTTGTAATCATTTATAGTGGTTTCAGATTAGGTCTCATAATTTTTCCTTTTTCCAAATAGAGTAATTACCCTCATCTGTATGGATTATTATGTGCATATTTTTAGGAGCTTTTACAATGTCTGTTAAGGCTACAGCAGAATGATAAAAAATAACTGTAGTGTTTGTTTATGCATTGGAGCTTATCTGGTGAATTTAGTTACCTTTAAATATCTTCCTTGACAAATAGTTGTTTATTTGGGCAGTGTTTGTTAAAATCTAGAAGTATCAGTATCAGTTCTGTGCTGTAATCGAGCATTTCAGTAAATGGCAAATCTCATTCTCTAGTCCTGACAAAGATTTCTCAGTTGTTGGCTAAAAAGCCAGCAAAGATTAAAAAAGGTTTTACAGATGCTCTTTTCATCCATATTGGTAAGAAAAATGTACAGTGTCTTCATGATAAAACAATCCAGGCACACAACATTTTATTCCAGTGGCCTGCTAAGAAATAACTACAGAAGAGGGATTCTTCAGTGAAATAGAGTCTGAATTATGCAAGCTAAATTGGGAAATACAGGTATCTATTGTAATATTATTTGCACATATTTTTTTAGAGCTGTGGGCTCTGGCCTTGCCAATTTATCTTAGCTAGCTAATGGTTTAAACAGTAGAGTTTTAATGTTACAGTGTATCAGGTGTGTCCAACCCTAAGCCTGTGCGCCGCATGTGGCATGTGGCCCAGGATGGCTATGTATGCGGCCCAACACAAAATCGTAAATTTACTTAAAACATTATGAGATTTTTTGTTTTCATTAGTGTTTATATATTTAATGTGCAGCCCAAGACAACTCTTATTCTTCCAGTGTGGCCCAGAGACACCAAAAGGTTGGACAGCCCTGATTGTAAATGAATATATCATGAGATTAAATACTGTCATGTACTTGAACAGTCATAGAGACCTAGTGCCAAAATAAAATACACAAACCTGTGCCTTAAAACCATGGCAGAGAAGAGAGAGAGAGAGAAGAAGAACAGAAAGAAAGGAGTAAGGGGAGAAGAAGGAAGAAAACTATGTCCAAAATTCAGTATGATAATGGTAATTCCTTTTACTTACCAGGCCTTCTGGATTTTGAAACATACTGAGTCTAGTCATTGGTCATAGTCAATACCACTGAAACGTGTGCCTTTTGTCAAGCTCTTAAAAGCCTAGGGATCCCATATAAAGCATCAACAACCTTGCCTTTGTTTCTTCATTAGATAGGCACCCTTTTTGCTTCCCAAGTACTTACCTCTCTTTTCATTCACTACATGGTAGACATTACTTGCTAATGTATCTTTTTCTCCTTCATATGATTTAAAATACCTCAAGGATATTCATCTTTGTTTCCCTGGTGCCTGGCATGCCTAGGAGCTCAGTAATTGTGTGTCAACTGGATCTGAACTAGTCGTGCTGTGTGGCTCCACACCGCTGGAGTCCTCCTGCTGCCTGGGACCCACACAAAAGCAGTGAGTCTTGCCATGGCACCCTGAGTTAGCAGTCAGCAAGCAGGCCTTTCGGCAGCCCTTCTGTCCTGAAAGTAGGCAGTTGCCAAGGAATGTCCTCTTCACAGTAATAGGACAGAAACCTAACTGTGAATGTACTGATTAAAAAACACACACAACAGAAAAAAACTAAGTAGAACACATTTAATTAAACAAGTTATACCTCTGTGTAAGCTTTTGCAGTAATAGTGTCTATATTATCATACTCCGTTGACTTATATTTCTCTAGCATATTTGAAGTTTGTGAATCCATTTCTCTAAATGGTATTCAGAGGAATACACTAGCTTAATCCCCAGAGTTCTTTTAACTGTGTTGTAATTTCTGCTTTGAATGCACAACACAGTAAATCCCACTAAAATAATTTGTCATTTAAATATTTTAGAAACTAGATGTGTGAATGTCTTGTGAAGAAAAAGACAAAAATCATGAGACAGAAGGTGGGCAGGATTTCAGGGAAACTAGGAAAATTTTTCACTTTGTATTATGAAATGCTAAAGAATTATGAATTAAGGATGGCATTGTAGTTTTATGGCATGTTAGACAAAGTACTAAACTAAGAATTTGAAGAATTTATTTCTACCCCCATTTTTACCACTAAAAAGCTATGTGATCTTAGGAAACTCCTTCACCCTCAGCCTGTAAAACGAGTGTACAAGATACAAACATATATGTAAGTGTGTGTGTGTGCATGTTCACACTTTTTCATAAAAGCTCTTTGTTACAGGAGGAAGTTAGGGGAAAACTAAATCTTGTCACCACAGAGCTTTAAAAAGGGCTCTGGTGTCAGCTTATATAAACTTGAAAATTACTTCAGAGACCTTTTAGCCTTCCCCCACCCCACCTATCCCTACTCCTACAAAGGAGAAACTTCACCCCAAAAGGCCTGAGACCTGGGGCAGATACAAGGAGATCGAGTTCTTGTTCAGGAAGGAAGGTGCGGCTACCACAGAGCCGGCAAGAAGTGTTGACTGATTCCCTCTTAGAAAATCCTTGGGCAGTAAGTGTGACCTTGCCTGGCGAGTGGAAGGGAGAATATGATCCTGATCCACTCTGGGACAGGAATGTGCTTCAGAAGCACTTTTCAGAAGCGCCTTATTCCTACCAGAGACCTTCAGAGAGTTCTCAACCTCAGAGTCGGACTGGCAAAGTGTGTATGGTTATATTGAGTCAGATTTTTGTTAAGTGTCATTTTTGTGGTAAGTCGCATATTTCGGTAACAGATGATTAGTCACATTTTAATTAGACCTAATTCAGGACTGACTTTTCTCAGAACGTTCTTCCCCCTGTTTACACTTGTATTACCTATTTGGAGTGTAAGTAGTTTTACCTCATCTAGGCCATGAATTTGAAGTTGACTGTACTGAGTATGAAGGGGGACCCAAAAAAACCCTGGAATTTATTTATAAAAAATTATATATTTATTCATACATGTTTAAACTTCAGTCACCTTCAAAGTACTCTCTATTTGATGTAATACACCTATCGAGACATTTTTTCACTGCTCAAAACTGTTTTGAACTCCTTGATTTTGATGCCTTTTAGTATCCCTGCTGGGGTTTTTTTTTTTTTTTTTCATGTGAGCAAAATGTTTCCATTTAAGGACTTTTTTCATCTAGGGAAAAAAGTTGCTCGGGATGAGATTAGGCGAATGGGCAGTGTGGGGCAACGGGGGGGTCATGCCATTTTTGGTCAAAAACTGCTGAACACTCAGTGGGATATGGGCAGAGGTGCACATAAATCATCCATCTTGAGATAGGCAGATGCATTGAAGGAGTCTTTAAAAAAAAGTCACTGAAGCCAAATGCAGCCTCTCACAACAAGGCCAGCTGGCATACTGATACAGATGGGTTCCTAGAACACAAGAAGCCTGCCCTCCAGAAGATAATTCTGGTTTGGGGGGCCTCCCCCCTTGTATACTTCCAGGCTTTCTGAAGTAGCAGTCCAGGAATGGCAAATCCAGGCCCACTTAGAATGAAAGCCCACCCTGAGTGTAGAGTAATTCCATTTACATTAGCTGGTGAGCCTTGTGATGAGCCTCTGTCCCAACCTCAGGGCTAAATGTGACCCAGTGAACGAACCCCTGGAACCCAGGTACCCACACTGCTGTCGAGCTGTGTGCTTGGCTTCTGTCTTGGCTCACTGCCCTGTTGGGAAGGGTCTCTGCCCTGGAGCTCCACCTGCTCACTTAGGCCCTGCACAACTTACCCAGGCCCTTGTCACCAGGGGTTTTTTTTCCCTCTCCCCCACCGCATAGAGCTACTGCCTGCATTCCCAACCTTACAACTTGTAGTATTGTACTGTCTAGAAACTCTGGCTGTCGTGCCCCACACCTCAGGACAGCCTTCCTGGCACTATTAAAGCCAGCCATCAACAACTCAGGCCGTCCGTCACATCCGCATGAACACTGATTTGAACTGCTGGCCATCCCTGAGGGACCCAGCCCATAGCCCAGTTTGTCTCCGTGGCCGTCCTGCATGTCTGCCCATTGTAGACACCTGCTGCTGAGATCCCAATGTGTGCCAACACCAGCCAGGGAGGGTTCTGACTCCAGTCATGCCAGCATGCTCGGAAATGCCCCAAGGACAGACATAAAAGGAGGTTATTTTGGAAAAATGAGTCTAATTGCTCTCTGCTTCCACTGAGAATAAAGGCAGAGGAAACTGAGTAATCTATGAACAGGTGTTTTACTACTGTGACATAAAATTTTTTATTGGTAGGCAAGGTGAGACAGAGACTCTTGTTAAGTAGTACCCTCATTTAGAGTACAACTCTATTTACCTGCTACAACAAAATGTTAAAAATTACAGAATTATTGCAGCAAGAGCCTTGTGCCAACAATCTAAAACACAGGTTCTAAAGCTAAGATCTAATTAGTTCTTTTAGAGATCTAATTAGTTGGAAAATATAAAGCTCAGGGATAGACAGCCCAGGTCTTTCATGGAGAGAGAGTGCAACCAGTGGTAGGTCCCTGTGGCCGTAGAGACAAGTCCCTCATTGGCCTTCAACCAAACCGAATCTGTCACTCCTCTGTCTGGAGTCCATTTCCTCCCAGGGATCACAAGCTGACCAGCCTTCCAGATGTGCCACGTATATTTGGCACCTGTTTTGAAGAAACATCTGGTGTTTTTATACCTTGCTGCAACCAGGGGAATTTTCTGTTTTCCTCCAGGGCTCTTGGTTCTCTTGAGTGAATGCCGTTGGCGTTGCCTCATGCAGGTTGAAACGTGCTGCCCAGCGTTCCTCCTCCGTGTGCTGTGCCGACGCACTTTCCCCACAGAACTGTTCAGATGCAGCTTGCTGTCGTCCCCTCATCTCTCTTGCCAAGTGACAGTGAGCCATTTTGAAAACGTTGGAAGCCTTTTGCTGAGGTTTAATCAAGCTGCAAAACCTTTTTTTGGTGTGTTAGCAAAAGAGTCCCACTCTCCCTTTGTGCAAATTTGCTCTTTATTTTTATGCCTGCCTCTCAAGTGGAACCAGGTTAGCAAATGATGGAAAATTAAATCCAGATGATTTGTGATAAGGAGGATGTTTTGTGGAAAAAAAGACCACTGGGTCATAGAGAATGCTCAGAATGAGATTATGCAAATGTTTTTATTATCACACTTTTAAATAGTACAGGCAGTCTTGATTTAGATGCAAGGCCAGGCAGTTCTGGTTAGCTTTTTATTTATTCAGTTTTTCTGTTTTAAATGAGTAGAGACTCACTAAAGCATAAAAGAAATTAGGTCTTCAGAAGGGCCTGCCTCATAACCACATACATGCTTCATAGTCACAAAGATGGTGAATAAATTTCCTTCGGCCTCATAGTTCATGATTTACCGAGACACTGGAGTAACAGAATGGTTGTCACACTCTTTCATTTTAGGAAACCTGTGATCCAGGGAAGATAAAGCCTGAAGCCAGACGATACTTGGAGAAGTCAGTTAAAATGGGAAAAAGAAATGGGCTCCATCTTCCAGAACAAGTACAAAATGTGAGTTTATGTTTCATTTTCTTATGAGGACAAAAGGAGTAAGTAAAACATAATACAACAACTACAAAATGGGAAGTGCATATTTTAATATGGGAAATAATGTGTAATTAAAATCCATTTACAATGTACTTGATAGTGGCTTTAAATTCTACAATACAACTCCTATTCACCTCATGGTGACTGACAGAGAACTGGTAACTTAATTTTTCTTTAACTGCATCCAAGTGTTATTTGTGTCATATGTGCTGGGCTTATTTTATCTGCTCTGTCTTACATTTCCTAGTACCTAGTTCCAGTCTCAGTATTTTCATTGCCTTGGGGTTACAGAGACAGGGCACTGGTGATAAAATCCATATGATGGAGAGTTTTAAAACCAGCACTTTGAAATGGAACACCCTATGACTAGTATATGGCCCTTCAAGGTGGACTGATTAGCTGGTGAAAACTGCTTCTCAAACTTTTTCTTTTGTCTAATGCCAGTTAGATCTTCCGGTTTCAGAAATTAAACTCAGCTACAAAATTAACTCATTCTTTGGAAAGGAAAAAATAACCCATGATTTACTTCCAGGTGATCCTTCGAGGGCGTAGAACTGGAAACAAGTTTAAAGGAAATGCAGACCAAGTGATGTCAGCATGGTAGATATACCCGAAGGCACTGCTGAGATATGGGTGCCTTTGTGCCACCTACATGCCCTTTGAACACCTAGTAGCCTCTGTGTCCTACTCACAGAAGAAACCTGACTGATCTCAACATCTGACTTGCCATCATCAGCTCTGTCTGGGGCATGAACACTGTATTAGTTAAAATGGATTGGCCATAGCTAACAACACCCTGCTGGAACAGTTTAAACAAAAGAAGAGATTTCATTGCTTGTATAACTGAAAGGTCCAGAGGTGGTCAGGCTTCATGGGCTAGTTTGCTCCTGTTGCCCAGTGGTGTTTTTGGCCACCTGGTTTTCCTATTCCTCTACTGTCTTCTTCATGGTTAGTGCTAACCAGAGGTGGCTCCTTTTATTTCTAAAATGGCTGCAAATCAAAAGCCACTGCCAACTAGAAGGACATAGAGAAGCTTCCATTATACCTCCCTTCATGTCCTAATGGATTCAATCATATGCCTAATCCTGTTGGGCACGTGCCAGGCCAGGGTTACCTGAGCCAGTCACTACTGCAGTGCAGGTGGGATTACCTGACTGGTGCAGGGGTCACACCCCTGGAACTTCAGATAGAATTGGGTCCCACTCAAACGACATGGCTGCTGTGGAGCATGGAGGCAGTGGAAGGGAACTTGGACAGGCAACCAGGATGTCCGAAAATGACACTATGTGTGTCAAATTGAGTGTCCCGCAGAACTACCTGGAGGGCTTGTTAAAACTCTGATCACCAGAGCCCACACCTCTGTGAGTTTGTTTCAGTGGACTTTGTATGGGTCTCAAGAATTTGCATTTCTGACAAGTTCCCAGGTGGTGTCGATGCTTGTGGTCAGGGCCACAACGTGGGAAGCCAGTATGGTTTAGGTAAATTTCATTAGCTAGCGTTTTCAGAAAAGTGGGGCACTCTTAATAAATAGATTTTATTAATCTATTTTAATAAACAGATTAATAGTTTTATTTATTAATTTATTTCATGTTTTTTCTCAAGGTTCCCTTCATACTGCTTCTTTTGATCTCCCATCTGATACTTTTTAGACGAATGTTAGGTCGCATTTATTTGAAAAGGCTCTGTAAAAACTAAGACCTAACCTTTTTCCCTAAAGCAACCATAGAATTATTCAGTTCTCATCTTTTAGCTTACTTCAGTAGCAACTACTGATTTACTAAATTAAAATTTTGAATTAGAAAAGATTCAAAATATCATTAATAGGCTAATAGATTCATTCATTCATTTAGCAAATGTGTGTGTACTATGTACTAGATGCTGCTTTGACTCTATCTCCTAAATTTTACTCAGTTCTTGCAACTTTATGAAAATTTCTGACACATCACCAGATTGCTATTTTGTTCATGTTACATGCAGATACTCATGGACAAAACATACAAAAGTGCAGCAAACTAATCAAGCACATGTCTAAGAAAGTACTTCCTGCCCTGGCTGGTGTAGCTCAGTGGATTGAGTGAGGGCCTGTGAACCAAAGGGTCACTGGTTCAGTTCCCAGTCAGGGCACATGCCTGGGCTGTGGGCCACGTCCCCAGTAAAGGGCATAAGAGGCAATCTCACACTGATGTTTCACTTCTTCTCTTTCTCCTTCTCTTCCCCTGTCTCTAAAAATAAATAAATAATATCTTTTAAAAAAAAGAAAAAGAAAAGAAAAGAAAGAAAGAAAGAAAGAAGGAAAAAAAAGAAAGAAAGAACTTCCTGGATGTTGGAGACAAAAGTCAATATTCATATAAAGTGAAACTTACTTGACTGATAATGATAACAATAAGAGATTTGTTTTTATTGTTAAGGTCCTGTATTTCTATTTTGTTTTAGGAAATCAAAGCAATGAAGAAAAGAATGAGTGAACTGTGCATTGACTTTAACAAAAACCTCAATGAGGATGATACCTTTCTTGTATTTTCCAAGGCTGAACTTGGTAAAATTTTGTTATGTTTCTATATTAAATTATATAATCCCAGCAGATAATGTCACCTCACAGTTTGCCAAATCAAAGTTAAAAGAATTGTTTAAAAAATGGTCCAGTCCCTTCTACAGAATCTACCTCCCGTCTACAGAAAAGACAACCAAACCATGCCTAGGGTATAGAATAATACGAGTGAATACTGTTTTTTTGTTTGTTTGTTTGTTTGTTTGTTTTTTAATACTGTTTCTAGAGACAGCCCTGAGAAGATTTCATAATCTGTCTTGGATAACTTATGCTGTTGTTGAACAGCCTTCAGTTCCCTGAAAATTTTTTTTCCTTACAGTGTCTTCTACAGTGTAACTTTAACTAGTCTCTTCTTCTGTTCTTGGCTTAATTTGCCTGTTCTCCAACAAAATACCATCTGCACAAGTGCACTGAAGCCTCTTCATATACTGAGTTAGCATCTCCTAAGGCACCTGTTCTGTAAGCACCACCCCCTTGATACTATAAGAATTGTCATTTTATTTAAATTTTAATTCCTCCACAAAATTCCTGGAGTTCATAATGGCACCATGCCAATGTTAAATTAAACAGTAATTAGAGATTTTTTTGCAGGTGCTCTTCCTGATGATTTCATTGAGAGTTTAGAGAAAACAGATGATGACAAGTATAAAATTACCTTAAAATATCCTCACTATTTTCCTGTCATGAAGAAATGTTGTATCCCAGAAACCAGAAGGAAAATGGAAATGGCTTTTAATACAAGATGCAAAGAGGTACTTATGAATGTTTGGTTTCTTGTTTGTTTGGTTGGTTGGTTAGTTGGTTCATTTTTTGTTTGTTTTGGTAGAAGACTTTAAGTAAAGGGTTTGCTTTGTTAACCAATGCTGAAGCCAGCTCAGAGACTAGTATTTCTATTTGTATGAGCATTCTGTCTCCTAATCCCTCAGACCTAGAATAATTAGCCTTTACCTTGCCCATGGACAACTTGCCTGGTATGGCCACAGGCTAAGCTATTGTAATACAAATAGAATGGATTAAATAAACTTAAAGTTGCATTCTTCTCCCAAGTCAGTAGTCAGGGGCTGGTGGAGCATCTCTCTCTCTCTCCTCAGTAACTTCCAAGGGCATTTTAACTGTCATCATTTCTCAATCTGTAAGGAAGAGGGAAAATAAAGTACAGAGCAGATATCTTTAAGAAAAAAAGACCTGGAAATGACATATATCAACTATATGCATATCATATTGACCCAAATTCCATTGTATAGCCATATCTAGCTGCAGGGGAGGCTGGGAAATGTAGTCTTCAACTGATAGCCATTTGCTCAGCTGAGTGGATTCTATCACTAAAAGGAAATAAGGAAGAATTAGAAATGGATATTAAGAGTCAACTAGCCAGCCACACCACAGTCTGTCCAAGTAAGTGTGAGTGCCTCTTTTCCCCATTCACCAGGCGTCGGATCCCACCCCATTACTGCCTTGAGCTCAAAGACTAGTAGTCTCTCTGGGTGATACACAGTCCTCCCCAGTTGTAGCTTCTCATGATCTAGCTAGCAACCTATGAAAGGAAAGACTGGCTGTCTAGCCCGCTCACCCCCAGCACACATACACCAGTGGTAGAATAGGAACAGAATGGCCATAGTACGAACTCCCATTTGGAAAAGGAAACAATGGGAAGCACAGTTTGGCAGGAATTGTAAGGATTCTGTGTCTGGGAAGTTCCTGGGATGACCCATTGGACTTACTGGGTCTCCTTTCAGGCAGGAATAAAATTCATTCAAAACCTCAGTAGGTTTTCTGTCTGTTGTTTCCAGTCAGATTCACATTAAAATAACTATACCCAAATATTACTTTTGTTCATAGTTCTTAAACCTACCAAATCCTTTCTTTTGTACCGGTTCCTGTATCATGCCGTTTCTGCTCTTCCTCAGTGTCATGGTGTCTGCTTCAGAGCCGCCTGAAAACGGTAGGCTTCAGGAGGAATGCAGCATTCTTAGATAAATCTCTGCAGTTCAGTACCTCTGAGTCATAGTCTTTGCTCCTGACTTTGGGCTACAGGGGAATTGGCCTCTCCAGCCATCTGAAGCCCCAGACTATGGGCGGAACCTCTCAGAGAAACTCTTTCCCTTTTGTCTTTGCAAACTGACCAGCTCTCCCTTAAGCGCATCTTTCTTGTGTAATCTTACTCAAGGTAACAGGTACAAACACACATCATTATTAGTTTTCCCAAATAATTCCTCTACAGCTAAGACTCAGTAGGGAATTGGCCTGCCTTCCGAGTTACGGCAAGCAAGAGTTTTAACGAGTGTGATCCCTGGTGTAATGAGGATTCCCAGCTTCCCAGCCTGTGGTGTCTGTGTCCTTGCCTTCCACTCCTGCATGTTTTTCATTTTTGTTATAGCAGCATCCTCTTCCTAGTATCTGTCCTGTGGGTATTAGAGTATAGCTGAAAGAACTATACAAAAGTCAACCAAAAGCACAGAGATGCAAATAAATAAACATTATTTCTCTTCAGAAAGCATTAATGGTTACCCAGGGCTGGGGAGACTGGGGAGGTATTCCTTCATGGTTACCAAGTTTATTTTGGGGGTGTCGGAAGGGTTTTGGAAACAGATAGTGGTAATGGTTGTACAACAGTTTCAGTGTAATTAGTGCCACTTAATTGTACACTTAAAAATGGTTAGAAGGGCATATTTTATGTTATGTGTTTGACATTTCTTTAAAAAAGGCTTATTTCTCTTAAAACTAACAATACCGAGGTGAATATTCTAGAGCTGGAGGCTAGCTCTGCTGTCCTCAGCATGTGGTTTCCAAGGTCATGGTTGTCACCTTTAGTTCACAGCTGGCAATGCAAGCATCTATAAAGAGATGACTCAGAAATTTCAGTCAACACCTCATTCATATTCCATGGTCCCACAACTAGCTTTAAGGAAGTCTGGAAGGCTAGTCAGGTAACCTTGCATCTGGCAAAAACTCAGAGAATTCTAGTACTAGGGAGAAGAATGGAGGAATAGATATTGGGAGAAAATTGGCAGCTTGGAGAGAAGGTCTACAGAAACTGAAAAAGGTGAAAGAAAAATATCAGTTAATTTTAGAACTCAGAGAATTATACTGTGTGTTTCTTATATCCATGTTTCCGTCCTAATTTTAAAATAATAGTAATTATAACATAATTATATAGAGTTTGTCCTGGTTCCAGGCACTTTTCTGTGTACTTACATATATTTTCATTTGAATCTTCATTTACCCCATGACTGAGCTGCTTTCATTACCTGTATCCTGCAGGTAAGAAAACTGAGGCTTGGAAAGGTTAAGGCACTTGCCAACTGTCAGACAACCAGTAAGTGGTCGAGCAAACTTTGGGACCCAGGTAGTTTGACTTTGGTGTGTGATCTTCCTTAGAAACATGTCTAGAAATGATTTGCCTATTTAATCATCAGGAGTAGTTTTTCTTTGACGTCAACATTTATTTACTTTTTCTTTTATTGTTTAAAAACAAGTTTATGCTGAGTGAAATAAGCCAGACACAAAAAAACAAATGTGGTAAGATCCCACGTACACAAGGTTCCTGGAACAAATTCACAGGGACAGAAAGTGCAATGGTGGATGCCCGGGGCAGGGGGAGGGGGCAAGGGGAGATAGTATTTAATGTATATAGAGTTGCATTTGGGAGAGATGAAAATATCTGGAGTTAAGGCAGTATCCTTATTTGTATTTTGATACAAATAAAGTAATAGGAAATGTTTGCAATAATTTGAGAAAAATCCCTGAAACATTTTCTAAATGTAGAGCTCTGTGGTCTTAAGTATTGTGCGACCATCACCACCATGTATATCTTTGAGATTTACTCAAGTTCTAGCATGTGTCAAAACTTCTTTCCTTTTTAAGGCTGAATAGTATTTCATTGTATGTATAAACCACATTTTCTTTATCCCTTTACCCATTGATGAACATTTGGATTGCTTCCACCACTTGACTGCTGTTCACATAATGCTGCAGTGAACACAGTTGTACAAATAGTTGTTTGAGTCCTTGCTAAATCATATGGTAATTCTGTGTTTAATTTCTTAATTTCTTTTTTTTTAGGAATCCCAGTGCTGTTTTCCACAGCAGCTGCACCATTTTACATTTCCATTATTAATGCACAGAGATTCCAAATTTTCTACATCCTCATCAACGCTTATTTTCTTTTTTTTTTAAATAATAGCCATACTAATGGGTATGAAGTTAGTTACAAATTTTGTGTTGTGTATATATTGCCACAATGAAAAAATAATTTAGGTACCAAGATTTGGTGCAGTCCTATCAATGAGACTAAATATGGATTCACTATAGTCCTTAAAACTACATTTTCAATCTTAAGTTTACTATATCTAAAATATTATTAAGATGTTGTAACTATCTCCTGATGTTTAAAAGGTCATTTGTTTCCGAAGTACAATTGGGTCATGAATCAAAAAATAAAAGTCTGCAACACTTAAATCAAATAATTTATTAGAAGTTGAGATGGTCTAAAAATATTTGACAGTTTTGCAAACCTAAAAATACATGTAATAACTCAGTGTTTTAGATTCAATTAATTGTTAATGTTTATTTTTGTTGTTGTTGTTTATTACTAGGAAAACACCAAAATTCTGCAGCAACTACTCCCACTGAGGGCCAAAGTCGCCAGACTACTCGGCTATAGTTCACATGCTGACTTTGTTCTTGAAATGAACACCGCGAAGAGTACAAGCCATGTAACAGCCTTCCTAGGTTAGTTCTTTCTTTAAGATTAGTTATGTATTTCCATTTTGATGACTATTTTGCTGCATGATACCAACTGGACAGAGGGCTTTAGACTCTAATATGCTTTTGAGGACATCCTATTTGTTATTCATTCAAGAGAAATTTATTGATCACCTAACTATGTATTAGATACTGTGCTTGGTTTTAAGGGTTGCCCATGGTTTATATTACTATTATAGTCCTTGCTTCATTCTATATTGTATCTTGATTGGGATTTTATTTTATTTTACTTTATTTATTTTTAGAGAGAGGGAAAGGGAGAGAGAAAGAGAGGAAGAAAAACATGTATGTGCAAGAGAAACATCAATCAATTGCCTCTCATACACCCCCAGCTGGGGACCTGGTTCCCAACTCAGGCACATGCCTTGACTGGGAATTGAACTGGGAACCTTTCATTTTACAGGACGACATCTAACCCCCTGAGCCACACCAGTTAGGGCTTGATCGGGATTTTTGTACTAATGTCTAACAAGACATCTAGGATTGTAACAGAGAATATTAGCTTTTGGCTTTGTTCACTGCCCTTTAGTGTTTGTAGTTATAGTATAGCTACTTATGAGTTCATACGAAATGAGCTGAGAAATAACAAATGAAAATAAAACATGTATAAACAAAAAATAAACATTTTATATTCCAGAAGCCACTTACTATATACGAAAGTAATACAAAAACAATAATCATCAAAACTATTATGTAATAACTCTATTCACATTTATTTAACATCACTTTCACTCTTTTTAAAACCATGGTTCTTGCGTCCATGACCTTTAGTTACTGGTATTCTGTCACTCCTCCCTGTCCCCATCTCAGTCCGTGTGTCACTGTCGCAGCAGTCACTCTGATTTTCTCTCCCATCTTATTGAAGATGGTTGAATGACAGCATGGTGTGGGTACTGATTTTTTTTTTAGATTTTATTTATTTATTTTTAGAGAGGGAAGGAAGGGAGATAGAGAGAGAGAGAGAGAAACATCAATGTGGGGTTGCTGGGGGTTATGGCCTGCAACCCAGGCATGTGCCCTGGCTGGGAATCGAACCTGCAACACTTTGGTTCGCAGCCCAAGCTCAATCCACTGAGCTATGCCAGCCAGGGCGGGTACTGATTTTTTATGTAATCTTCTTTAACCAGAATTTATGAAAGTATGGCTTTTTTTTTTACTTTCTTCATTGACCCCTTTCAGACTTTAACAACTAGTCAAAGTATGTAGTCTGTTTTTTATTAGCTTAATTAAGTTGGAGATTTTGAATAATGAGTTCAAATCAGCCTTCAGCCAAAGATTTACTCCACCATGTCCTCCATGGCCATTCCTTGCATTATTAGTGTATATGCTGGCACAGATGTGACATGTAGCAGGTGCCCCATAAATGGTAGTTATTTGTTACTATATAATTCATTTATTCATTCATGAGACATTTATGAAATAACTCTTCTGCATTAGGCAGTATGCTAAATGGTGAAATCACAGAGAGGAATTAAACAAGGTCCGTTTCTCAGTGAACATGCCCTGAGTGGAAACAACAGAGATGTGAACAGGTAATTGCCGTATATCCTGATGCATGTTATACAGACAATGGCTCAGGGAGTTAATAGGTTTGATAAAAATGTTGTAACTGCATATACTAAAAATTCTCCTTGAGAACTACCTGATTAACTTAATTCATTTAAAGTAGTTTCCCTGTAATTTGAAATTGGCATATTCCCATGTGAGCTGTCCTCTTGCTACCTGTACTCACCCGTTCCCTGGCAGGCCCACTCAGAATCACTTCTCTTTTGTCTCCTGTGAGCCTCCTTCTTTCTCTTCACAGCACTCCTCAGGCTGCGGCCTGCACCTCCCACTCTGGGCTGCCTCCGGAGCGGACATGCGTCTTACAGAGGCAAACCTGTGTTTGTCTTACCTATACACCAACTCGTGAAGAATAAATACATAATAAGAGTGTATTCATTTAGCCAAATACAGGAAAAGAGTCAACAGTTGACCACAGTATAAATTGAGGAATCCATCTAAAAAGTGGACTTTCTGTGTCCAAATAGACCTTCTTCACAGGAATAGGGTAGTGATAACTAAACCCATGACCATCAGAGGCATTGAACACTTGTTAGTAATACTAGTAGTCACAGGTCACATTTGATTTATTTTTCCTACCTTTCTGAGGAGCCTCATCTTCTTGAACAATAATCATGTATATGAGTTGAGTTTCACCCCTGCTTTTTTCCTTGAATTATAACATTCTCCTGTCAGAGTTCTGTGAGATAAACTTCAGCTTTGAGGAAGTTTATGCTGTGAAGAAGTTGGGGCCTATTGTGGGTGGTGCTCACAGTAAAAGGGGCGAGGAGCCATAACACAAATTACCTTGAACAACAGGGCTGTCATATGGAGCCTGTTTTCCTTTTCCACCCCTTTCCCTTCCCCTGTCCCTCCCTCCTAGGAGCAATAGATTGCTGACTTTTCCCACTTCCCTCACAGATGATTTAAGCCAGAAATTAAAACCCCTGGGTGAGGCAGAGCGAGAGTTTATTTTGAATTTGAAGAAACAGGAGTGTGAAGAGAGAGGTTTTGAATATGATGGAAAAATCAATGCCTGGGATCTGCATTACTACATGACTCAGACAGAAGAACTCAAGTACTCCATAGACCAAGAGATCCTCAAGGAATACTTCCCCATTGAAGTGGTCACCGAAGGCTTGCTGAACATCTACCAGGAGTTGTTGGGACTTTCATTTGAACAAGTGGCAGATCCTCATGTGTGGAATAAAAGTGTCACACTTTACACTGTGAAGGATAAAGCCACAGGAGAAGTATTGGGACAGTTCTACTTGGACCTCTATCCAAGGTACTAACCAAGGTATTATTGGATTCAAATCCTTAGGGATTCAGCCCCTACCCAGATGAACACTCTTGTCTTCCATAGACCTCTTATGTGGTTCTTAACAAAGGGATTAAAGATGTGGGCTCTGAAGCCAGAATGTCTGGCCCCATTACTTACTAGGCTCTTAATGTCCCTGTGCCTCAGTTTCTTACCAACACTATAGTCCTATAAAGTGGGAATGCTAATTGTACTTGCTTCGTAGGGTTGTTGTAAGGATAAAATGGTTAATTACATGCAAAGAATTAATTGGAGACCACCCAGCCTTTAGCAAGTGCTTAATAAATATTAGCAGCTGTTATTATTATCATCACCATCATCATCTAGTTTGTGCACTCCATTTGCTTAATTTAACATTGAAACCCAAAATGTATTTATTATTCTGATATTCTGTCTGCCAATACTCTTAAGTCTATGGCCACTTCTCTAAGTCTGGCTGAGAAGCAACACAGTATGGTAAGTTAAACTTGAGTTGGGATGTTTGAGTGAGAGCATTTTGGGGACTCTGTTTTCTCCTCTGTAGTTTGGACTAATGATCACTTTACAGAATTGCATTGTACATTGCACCACATAAGCAAATCACCAGGACTAGGTATTTGATCAGTGGTAAGAATTAAAAATATTACTGTCTCTGAATCATGTGGTAACTCTGGACTCCCTAGTGTTTTATCAGATAGGAAAGGATGTGGGTCACTTTCTCTCCAGGCTGCTTTCTAAAACAAAGCCAGCCTGTTACAACTACTAATGCATTTTACAAAAAAGCCGGAGGGAAGAAATTATAGTATCCCCCTAGTTCAATCCCAATAATGAGTTTTTAATCCACAGACTTTGGGTGGCTTCAGGTGGCTGCTGGGAAGAAGGCTGGAAAACTGTGTCACCAGACCGTGGGCAGAGGTGCCTTATCCCCATGCTTTATAGACTTACTTTCACTTCTGAGATAAGCTAAAAATAAACCCATGTCAAATGTAGATGTGTCTATTTTTAATTACAAAGTGTCAGCATACAGTTTTAAGCCAAGAATTCTTTCAGGGAAAATCCTTCAACATTGGAGCTTTCTGTTCCTGGGTCAAAGCTAGTTCTTCTCACTTTATCCTGTTGTCTCTCTGCCAAATTATAATTGGCATCTTTGAGATCTGACCATTGCTACCAGAACTCTGGTTTAGGGACCAGAGGGGTGATCTCTTATGAGAGTAGTGACCAATGACCTACTTAATATTCACTTCCTGTCACCTACATGCTTGCTTCATGAAGATGAGATGGGTTAACTTCTTTTCTTTGTCTAATTAACTCAAAAAAGGATATTTAGAGTAGGTTTAAGAAAGACCAGTTTTTCTTAAAAATCACATTTCAATTTTCATTCATCAAATACTGAGATTCTCAAAACAAAAACAAAAACAAAAATACTCTGATGCTTCCAACATAAGGTTGGCAGTTAAGGACATTTTTAAGACTCACCATTTTTTTAACTTATTGATTAGAGAGAGAAACATTTTTTTAACTTATTGATTAGAGAGAGAAACATTGTTCCACTTATTCATGCACTCATTGGTTGATTCTTGTATGTGCCCTGACCTGGTATTGGACCTGCAACCTTGGTGTATCAGAATGATGCTCTAACGAACTGAACTACCCAGCCAGGGAAAAATCACCATCATTTTATGTAAACAAACCAACAAAATGTAAACAAACAAAATGTAAAAAGGTGTAATGTCAGAATAAGGAATCCTTTAAAATTAAATCAATCAAGTTTATGTTTTAAATAAAAGGTAAAAACCCCTCCATGCCACTGATTTTTAAGTTGGTAGAAACTTTCAGATTTTAAGCTCTTTTTACTTTTTTAAAATTCTCTAAATACTTTTAAGAAAACTGTTGTTTCTCCAACATAGTAGTGCCCACATTACTCTTAAATCAAGAATACTTTTATTGCCTTTTGTAATATACCAAGAGGTATAAAATATAACAAGACAACACTTCCCAAATGACTTTAGCTTTTCCCTGTTAAAAATAAATCTATTCTGGCTGGCGTAGCTCAGTGGATTGAGCGCGGGCTGCGAACCAAAGTGTCACAGGTTTGATTCCCAGTCAGGGTATATGCCTGGGTTGCAGGCCATGACCCCCAGGAACCGCACATTGATGTTTCTCTCTCTCTCTCTCTCTTTCTCCCTCCCTTCCCTCTCTAAAAATGAATAAATAAAATCTTGAAAAAAAAATCTGTTTACCTGTTTACACTTTTCCAACTAATTACATGAAATCAGTCCAGGAACTCTGAAGGACCCAGTGCTGGGCTGGCTGAAAATTGTATCAGATCAAGTGCACGGTGTCTGGTGTGCGTGTCCTCTCCTCTCCTCTGCCTGCCTTTTCCACGTCCCTGCCCACTCCTACCTCCACCTGGGCACTGTTCTGATTGATTGACTGATTTCTTACTTATTTCGAATAGACTTTATTTCTTAGAGCAGTTTTAGGTTCACAGCAAAACGGAGCATAAGATGCAGAGATTTCCCTTTCACCTGCTGGCCCCACACAGGCATAGTTTTCCCCATTATCAACATCCCCCACCAAAGTGGTACATTTGTTACAACTGATGAACCTGCATTGACACATAATCACCCAGCGTTCATAGTTGATGTTGTATATTCTATGGGTTTGGATGAGTTTTTATAATGACACATAGTCACCATTATAGTATTATTTGGTGTAGCTTCACTGCCATAAAAATCCTTTGTGCTCCATCTACCTACTCATCTGTCCCTAGCTCCTGGCAATTACTGATCTTTTTATATTGTCCATAGTTTTACCTACTTTCTGAAAGTTAAATGCTTTAAAGCATCTTCTATCAAATATGTATCAAATGAGACTTAGTGATTGAGAGAAGCCAGGGCAACGTTGTTGCTAGAGAAGGGTGTTCATATCTCACAGACTTCACTTCTGGTCCCCAGGGAAGGGAAATACAACCATGCAGCCTGCTTTGGCCTCCAGCCGGGCTGCCTCCTGCCCAATGGCAGCCGCATGATGTCTGTGGCAGCCCTTGTGGTGAACTTCTCTCAGCCCCTAGCAGGCCGCCCCGCTCTCCTGAGGCACGACGAGGTGCGGACTTACTTCCATGAATTTGGTCACGTCATGCATCAGATTTGTGCACAGGTGAGTGATCTTGCATGTGGAACCTGCCAGTTGCTTTTCTAGAGGTTTTGTTTCTTAAGTGCAGATGGGTTTCTCCCCTTAATATGTTGTTTTCAGAAGCTGAGCATGTTCAAGAATTTCATAGGCCTTCTGTAAAAACACAGATTTTTTTCTGATTGGGTGCTGTTTCACAATATATTTTATTTCAAGGTGAATTCACTAATGAAAGTGCCAACTAAATAGCATCCTGGAAAAAACAAAGCTGTCATCATGGAAGAGTTAAAATACTCTACTTTTAATTTTTTTTTCCCATAGGAATTTGGTGTAAGCTTCACAGATAAGCAACTGCTGTATGTAATCTGTCTCCTCTGTTTATTTTTTTTTAAGATTTTATTTATTTATTTTTAGAGAGGGAAGGCGGGGCAGGGGAGAGAGGGAGAGAGAGAGAAACAGAGAGAGAAGAGAGAGAGAAACATCAGTGTGTGGTTGCTGGGGGTCATGGCCTGCAACCCAGGCATGTGCCCTGACTGGGAATCAAACCTGCGACACTTTGGTTCACAGCCCGCACTCAATCCACTGAGCTACGCCAGCCAGGGCTGTCTCCTCTGTTTATTAATGCTCTGTGTAGTTAAATGGTTTTCAGCTAGCCCAGACTCTACTCCTTTTCAAATAATAAATATTTTGTAATACCTTTCTTTACTAGCCTCAGATTAAAGCCGTAGATAACGTAGGATAACCCTGGAGAGAATTTGCCAGAGCTCGAAGGTATGTGCACAATGGGCGGCAACGGATTTTTCTTTATATCTGAAAATGAACAGTATGCTTATTCTTAACTTTATAATGCAGTCCAGTAATCTGGGCCCTAACTATTCCAGAATAAACCATATGAACTTGCTGAACTTAACTGCTACTGACATATGAAAGCATCCAGTTCAGTAGTTCAATCTAACAGTATCAAAAACTGATGTTAACAGAAATGGAGGGACAGTTTTCCAAATTTGAAATCTCTATATACCTCTGAAGGTAAACTTTAAAAAATAAGCTTTTTATTAGAATAGTTTTAGGTCTACAGAAAAGTTGCAAAGATAGTACAAAAATTGTCCAGGTACCCCTTCCCCTGATTCCCCTCTGGTTCACATCTTACCATATTATAGTGCGCGTGTCCCAACCTAGAAGCCATCATTGGCACTACACTCCACACTTTATTTGGATTTTATTAGTTTTTCCCTAACAGCCTTTCTCCATACAGAGGATATTTAAAATTGATGTAATGTCCTCGCTAAACTTAAAAGATTTTTTTAATGGTTTTCAAATGGTAATGCCGTCTCATGGCTATGTACTAAGACATAATGAAGTATTCATGGATTTGCACTATAGGTGAATAACCCTGCCTGAATCCAGCAGCAAAAAACCTCAGGCTGGTGTAAGTGGCTTGTGTCCTCACCTCTGAGTCCAAGAGTGGTGTCACCATTGTGTTAGTTCGTGTTGCAATAACAATACTGTAGACCAGGCAGCTTATAAACAATGGAAATTTCTCACAGCTCTGGAAACTGAAAGTCCAAGATCAGGGCCCTGGCAGATTTGGTGTCTGCTGAGGACCTGCTTTCTGGTTCAGAGGTGGTGCATTCTCATCGTGTCCTCACATGGTGAAAAGGGTGAGGGACCTCCATGAGACCTCTTTCATAAAGACACTAATCCCCTTCCTGGGGGCTCCACCTTCATGACCTACTCACCTCCCAAAAGCCCCACTTACTACCACCACATCAAGGGTTGGGTTTCAACATACTGATTTGGGGAAGGAACACAAACGTTCAGTCCGTGGCGCCAGCAGTGACATGATTTCCCAACATGGTGAACACCCCTTAGGAAATTTCCTAATGAAAAAGTGTAAATCAACTGTGATTTACACAGTTGATCCCCAGTAGTTAGTGCCTTGGAAATTTAAAGTGTGTAAAAACAATTTTGCAAAAATATGTACAATGGAGTTAGTTTCTAGGCTCACTGAATTATAGATTTCTCATTTATTTGAATGTCCAACAGGAAATACGAGAGACATGGAGGACAGAGGACCGTTTTCGTGGTCCTACACGTGCAGTTCAATCTCAGACATGCAGCATCCCTAACTCCCAGAGGACCCCTAATTACAGCAGTAGCCAAAAATGTACGCACACGCTTCTGAAATACTACTATCACTGATGTTCAAACATTGCTTATTTCTTTCAACATTTTATCCTGACATCCTGGTGCTTCCATGTTTTATTTTTTAAAAACCAGAGGGAATAGGAATGAATGTTCAGATAAATGAGTTCAGACAAACTGATGCAAACGTTTCTGCTCTCTGTTTAGCCCAAGCAAAAGAAATCTTTCAGAATAATCTAAATTTTCTTTCTTAGCTGCTGTTAAAGTCTATTTTTACAGCAGTAGGATTCCTAGAATACTTATTTTCCATTGTATTTGCATTCTGTGGCTGATTTTTTTTTTAATTAGGATAAGTCTAGTATCCACTTTTCTAAAGTACTTTTATGTGTAATTTAGAAAAGTGAAATAAGTTTCTTAATTTTAGACTTATGAGGTATTACTTAGATTATCTAAAATCTAATTATGTACTTCTATGTAGATAAACAACAGCCTGTTTTTGGAAGAGTGGGTCTTAACTTTGGAGGAGCTAAGAACTGTATAAAAATCTGATTTAACCTGTGCATACCTCTTCCAGAAAAATACATATACGCTTATACTCTCCCATTTTTACATGGAATTCCAAAGAGCTCACAGAGCTCTTGGAGCCCAGACCATAGTGGATTCCAAGTAAGTAATCCCTGGGTTATAGCAGTTTCCTCCTTATTTGGATGTTGATTATCAGCTAATGGTTTCACAAGGAAGTAACTTGGTGTCCTAATCACATTTATTAGAATAAAACCGATCTTCAAATAGGGTTTTCAGTGCTGTCGACGCACGTCCTTGTTTTCGGACGCAGAGCTGTTATAACCTTAGTACCATATGCTCACCACGTATCCCAGTGCAGTTCTCCACAACTCTGTTATTTTCACTGTTTATGTTATTTTCAATCCTTTGAGATGGCGACTTGGGTAGTACTGGAAAAATTGTCTTCGTACTACGTCATTTTAGAGATATTTGACTCATGACTAAAATATTTTTTTATTTATTTACTCTTATTTATTCCATCAGTTTAGTGTCTCTTGAAACAATAGGCTCTAGGCTTAGTGTGTGCCTCCCCATGTTCGTGAGCACAGAATGCGCTCTACAGGCGAGCAGCGTGTGAGTCCAGTCCCTTGCTTGATCGTCTCACGAGATTATCTTAGATTTCTTAGTTGTCTATTAATCTTTTCAAATGACCTTATACACTTTAAGAATTTTTAAGTTAATTATATTTGGAACCAGTGATCACTACTTTTGTTTTAAAAGTATAGCAACAGATCTGTATATCTGCAGCTTTATAATAATTTCAAAACCTTTTCTACTGACTTGACCTGGATAGTAGTGAATGAGGAGTTTTTTAATGGCTTTAATGTTCAGGAAAACACTTCTGACTTCCCTGAGAAGTATATAATGAATGAACTATTTGCCGTACATGTTTAGTAGATGGGTTTTAAGCTAGGGCAGCTCGTTGTTTGCATTCTCCTCGGTGGCAGTTCGCAAGTTTGATGACCAGAAGAGCCCGTTGGAGCTTGTTGTAGGGATGTTTGAGTGTGTCGGCAGGAACATCCAGTTTCAAGCATGTAGATGCACTAGTTCGGTCTGTCTACCATCTCGTCATTCAAATGAGTTTCACTCCTATTTTCTTGTGTTTACACTACAGGGTAGGTAATTTTGGAGATAGCCATCAAGAGGTGGTATCTCTAGTGTCTCTTCCTGTTTCGGCTTTATTGTGGCTTGGGCTCTCAGTAATCACTGGCCTTTTGAACTTACATTGAAAAGAACCGTGATGCTTCTTAACAGCCTCCATTGAGATGCCTGTGATGATGGTCTGTGGGTTAAGAGCATTAATCAGTCTCGGACTGTTAGAGATATTTTAAAGCAACACCCCACAAAGCTTGTCAGTTAAAATTGAAAGTGATGGAAGGGCAAAAACTAAAATATAATTATTTATGATTTTTAAATAAACCATTAATTTGGTTGAAAGACTAATAGAGTATCTTGTCTGCTTTAAGTATTTTTTGTTAGATGCTGTTGTAAATAAATGTATCCTGCATCAGTCAGTAAAGCGCTCTAGTATTATGACGAGAGCACTAGATTACAAATCGTCCATGTATTTGTGGGTCTGGCTGTGTGACTTTGGCAAGTTATTCGACCTCCTGGAGCGACCTCATTCTTCTTACCCTTAAAATGAGGACAACAACAGTTCTTATACCTACCTCCCTGGGGTGCTGGCGAGAGATTAAATGATGTGTTAAAAGGTACTTGGGAAAGCATAAAGTGCCATACATATTTCAAGTATTCTTGTAACTGTGCTTATATGTAACTCAGAGCTTTGGGGATCAGTAAGTAGCACACAAGTCATAATTTAAGAGGAGTGGGGAGTTGCCATGAGGAAAAGTACAGTCACTTAGGGTTTAAGAGAATTTACAAATGCTTACCCTCCATGGATTTTGGGTGAGGATCTGTGGAAGTTGAGTGGAAACCATTAGGCATCTCTTTGTTTTTGTTTTGTTTTAATGATTACTGCCTACTTAGAAGTTTGATTCCGGAAGCAAGAGTAGAATGGGCAGTTTAGAGTGTCCAGAGTGGTAGGAGATTAGCTGAAGAGAAATGTTGGTATATTATCTTCAGCCTTAACACCCAGGAATAGATACTTGGGGGGGAAGTGTAGGACAAGCTTGGCCCAACCAGTCAAATCCATACTGGTCAGGCAAACCAGGCAGGCTAACGAGTCGTAGCAGCCTGGATGTACTTAGCATTGTCCATGCACCAAACACTGTGTATACTCAGTGCCTTACACTCATTAGTTAATTCTGTCCTTACACTTTTCTGAAGTAGATCTACCAATCTACTCCTATTATACT